CTTCCAAGTTTAAAGATGTGTGTGTTTCCCATTATCATTTAGTTCTGATTTTTCTAAACTTTTCTTGTGGTTATTTTTAATTTCATAGGCTATAGAAATCTACAGCTTAATTTCCAATCAGTTATTAATTTTTTATTCAGCTTTTTATTAAGGATTTCTAGTTTAATTCATGGTGATCAGTACACTGCATGAATTTGATCCTCTGAAATTTGTTGAGGCTTGCCATATGACCCAAAATATGGTATATTTTGGCAAAAGTTTCCTTTTCAGTTGAAAAAAATGTGAATTCTGCAATTAGTGGTTTGTATGCTACAAATGTCATTTACATCAAGTTTGTGATCACATTATTTAAATATTCCAATACCATTACTGATTGTTTTAACTGCTTTTTCTATCAGTTACTGTTTTAAAATCTCCAGCTATTATTGTGGACTTGTTTTTCTCTTTTTATTTAACTTACACTATTTGCTTTATTTATTTTAAGGTCATGTTATTAGGGGCATACTAATTTAATATTTTATCATCCTATTAAATCATCCATAATTAGTAGTGCCCCTTGCCTTAAAAATCTACTTTACCTGATATTAATGTAGTTATGTTAGCTTTCTTTCACTTGATATTTGCAAGGCATATTGTTTTCTATGCTTTTATTTTGAACTTCCCTGTTTTTTGTTTAATTTGTGTGTCTTCTAAGCTCCATGGGATTTGCTTTTTATTACCACCCTATTTTTATTTTTACATGCAGTATCTTTACACCCATATTTAGACTACTCACTAACAACCTGCAGTTCCGACCTGCCTGCCTTTTAGCTCTCTGCTGTCTCAATTGCTCTTTGCTGCTTTTGCACTCATTCTGTTTCTTTTTCATTTATCAAATATTTCTATTATGCAAGTTTTCCCTTTTTAGAGCATTAGTCATACCTTCTATTATTCTTCTTCTAGTTGTCACCCCAAATTTACAACATGCACCTCCACCTCATAGGAGGTAGCCTCCAGTTACCATTTCACCACTTACCAGTGATCTAAGGACTTTACATACAACTCCATTTACTGCATGCTTTAGGTGCTATTGTTATATGTTTTAATTCTACATATATTTTAAATACTACAAGACACAGCTGTTGTTTTAAAGTAAGTATTTATTTAGGGCACCCACATATTTGTCTTTCCTGGTGCTCCTTGGCCCCCCGTGTCGCCACATTTCCATCTGGGTTCACCCTCCTGCTGCCCAAGGACCACCCTGTAGTGTTTCTTTCAGCACCATCCTACCCGTAGTGAATTCTCATTGTCCTTGACTATCTGAAATCATCTTAATTTTGCCTTCATTTTTAGGGTAGTTTTGAGAGTATTGAACTCTTTATTGACAGTTATTTTCTTCCATCACATTAAAGATGTATATCATTATTTCTTTTGAAAACTCAGCTGCCAGTCTCACCATGGTTCCATTGAACGAATATGTCTTTTTTTCTCAGGGGCTTTGAGATACTTTTTTCTTTGTCTTTGGTTTTCACAGCTGCACTATCATGGGACTCACTGTGGCTTCCTTGTATTTCTCCTTTGGGGATTAGTGGGGCTTCTTTAATCTATTACTGTATTTTAACAGTTTCAAAAAGTTCTTGTCTAATAGTTATTAAAATATCGCTTGTACTTTATTCTCTTCTCTCCTTCTGAAACTCTATTTTCCCATATGACCGATTTTTTCACCACCTCCTATATATTTCCTACTGATTCTCTCCATTTTCCATTATTTTGTTTCTCTCTTATCTAGACATATTCTTCTGGACTATTTTCAATTCATGGTACTCTCACTATGTCTAATCTAATGTTAGACCCTGCTTTTAAATCTTAATTTTGGGTTTTTTTTTTTAAGTTTTAAAATTTCCATTTGATTTTGTAATAGCAAAAGTTCCATTCGCTAATAAAAGCCTCCATCTCTTCATCAATTTACCTGAGTATATTAATCAGTGTATATTTAATACACTCTGTGTATTAAAATGCCAGATCTGAATGTCTTTCTAAAATTGTCTATTTTTTTTTTCTTTTTAACTTGACAGTTGATCATTTGGTCCTGTTTCTGGCATGCCTAGTGATTTCTATTGAAATTACACATTATTAAATTACAGAGGCTTTAGATGATATCCCACTGCAGAGAGGTTTTCTAACAAAATAGGCAGAGCACCAGTCGGGACTGAGTTGATCTGAGGCTGTATTTCAGGCTTTGTGAAGACAGGCTTCTCTCTGGTTCATCACTGTTTCTGGGTCACAGCTCTTTAGGGTTTCCAGTGAAAGCCTGGGAGTCCCTCTACCCCACAGACACTGAATTCTGCACATGAAATTGCTAAAATTTCTTCCAAGCATGTCACTTTCTTGGCCCCTGGGTTTCACTTCATTTCACCCAGCACGTGAACTTGGGACCCAAATGAGTGTGAGGCCTTAGGTAATCACCTGCTGAGCTCTGGACTCTTTTCCTTTTCTCCAGACCTGCAGCCCCTCACCTGTTACCCTGAAAGCCCCTCACTCTGCTGCCATCCCTTGCAGTGACACTGTGACAAGCTCAGGGCTTTTGCTCCCTAGATGGTCCCTAAGCCCTGAGACAGACAGCCTGAGAGACAGCAAAGGGGCAGGTGTGGATGCGTTTCCCTTCCCCGGGTCCCAGTCCTTCCATTCTCCGCTGCTTGGCTGCTGTCCAAAGCCCTGCCCACTTTGAGGGTCATGCTCACCCAGGTGGGAAGGCGGTCAGTAAGCTGCTCGTTCATACCCACAGAGGAAGCCCACTTTAGTACGTATTTTTAATGTTCTTCAAAATGTTTAAAATTCACCTAAACCTAGAGAGCTAATGTTTAATGACCCTATAAGTGCATTTATGTAGAACAGCTGGTTTTCCTAATGACTTCTCAATTAAAATTCAACTCAAATATTCAATAAGTCTTCTCCAAAGCAGAGTTTAAGTGTTATAAGAGCATTATAAACAAAACGTTCTGAGCATTTTTAGATATGCAAGATATCACAGACACTGAAGTCCAGTAACAGGGCATTCCACGTGAGCCTTGCTGGAAACAGTGAAGGAGGCGCACGTGCCATACGGGCCTGGGCCTGGCCCTGCTGTTCATACTTTCACTCTAAGGTCCTGTTCGAGGACCCTGACCTGAGGAGCTCGTCAGGAATTAGGGTAAAGATTCATGTACAAAAATATTTATCGTAATACAAAACAGAAAACATCCTTGATATACCCTAGGGAGTAGTCAGATAATTATTAGCTTCATTAAAAAAGAAGGAAGCCTTCGGGTCAAAGTGCCCCCTCGTCAATGGGTGACAATCCATCTCCCCGCCAGGAGGCTGCACTGTACGCGCAACCACATCCACCTGAACCTGTTCCTCTCCTTCATCCTGAGAGCCGTCTCGGTGCTGGTCAAGGATGATGTTCTGTACTCCAGCTCCGGCAGGCAGCACTGCCCTGACCAACAGTCCTCCTGGGTAAGGCCACCCCTGTGGGCAGAGTCCTCTTGCTGCGGCAGGTGGGGAGTGGGTGGCCTGTAGGCAGTGCAGCCGCCAACCTCCCTGCTCAGCGACCCACCCCTCCTCCAGACCCCACTTCCCGTGATGAAGTCCTGGAGCTGGTGCACAGGCTCCAAGAGGTCGCGCTCAGGCCTGAGAAACAGGCCTGGCCATAGCGCGGGGGCCCAGAGTAGGCCCAGCTCTGCAGGTGAGACAAGGGGGTGACACAGGCAGGCGGCTGGCTGGGCCCCCTCCCCCACTGCCAGGGCTTGTCAGCAGCAGTTTTGGGCTGGAAAATCCTGACATGGAGGGACGAGCACAGAGCCATCGTTCTGTCCCCAGATCTCCTTGATTCTGTGTGGGAGATGCTCCCATCAGTCCCCTGCACCTGCTGGGAGCCCAGCTGCACATCTGTGAGGGAGCGTGGGCTCAGCCCTTAGGCACAAGGGCACCTGCATCAGTCACCGGCTCCCACAGACGCAGTGGGGTGGCCCCTGCCGCCCCGTGGTTCTCCAGCCGCTGGGCTCAGGGAGTGCGCGAGCCAATCTCCAGTGCCAAGCCCACTGCAGCGTGGCATTTATCAGGCCCCTCACGCGCAGGCCGCTTCCTCGCTCCTCTCCGCTGCATGGCGCCGGTGTCCTCGGGATGCTGGCAGGCATTCGGGCTCTGGTGCCTCGCCCCTGACGTGGTCGCACCTCCTGAGGTCGGCTCCTCTTTCCTGCAAGGAGCCAGGACGCTGCCCCGCCTCGTGTTCTGGCCGGATGGCTTTGCCGCACAGTTGCTCTGCACTGGACAGATGTGTTCTGACTTGGTTTTAAGACAGTGAACCCCTTTCCACACCACAGAACATCAGCTGTGCCATCAGGCTGCAGGTGAACACGTCTGGGAGGATAATCGGCTCACAACCCACAGGCACTCTTGTCACACCCAGGAGCCCACAAATCCCACCCCAGGAAGTCGGGGAGTCTCCTTGTATGACAAGCACTGGTGTACCCTGAGGAACCGCCAGCATTTCCCTGGATGGCCTCAAAGCTCGGAGGAGCCTGCCGTCTCCACTGAGCGTCACGGAGCCACAAACACCAGACCTCTGATCATGAGCCGCATCTCAACCCTCTCCTGCCATATGGACAGTCCTGACTGGCTCCTCACCAAGGGATGGGGGAGGGACGCCACCTGGGGGGGCAGGCCAAGGGTGACCCGCCCTGCTGGCACCCCACCAGACCTCTGCCACCCCTGTGGATGGGACCACCCCCAGCCATGGCTGGAGCCCCTTCCTGTGCTGGGCTTTGCCTGTGGACCCTGTCAATGGTGCCCAGCCACCTTCAAAATAGCAATTCGCCCATTTGGTAAATGAGGATGTGGGGCTGAGGGAAGCCCAGCCACCTGCGGTGTGTCACTGCTGACTGGGCTCAGGCTGCGCTCTGGCCAACTTCAGGCCCACAGCCCCGCTGAGATGCCTGCGGGGCTACTCAGACTGTCCCAGCGGCTCTGAGGACCGCCGTTCTGGGATGGAGTGGGCAGGGGTGCCTCCTCTCACCACCCCCAAAGCATGGAGCAGAGGTGAGGGCACCAGATGCCACCAAGATTCCTGTGCCAGGGGAGGAAGGGAGGGTGGGGGCAGCAGGGAAATGGAGCAGAACATGAGTGGGGGGAGAGTGGGGCCCGGGGAGGAGAAGGGCTCTTCCCTGTCATTGTCCCTTCATGGGTACAGAGCCTTGAGAGAGCCCATCGGCCGGGACACTTGGGCCCCACGTGGGGATGGGAAGAAGGAGCCTTTCTTTCAGTTATGCTTTTTTGACACTTCTCCTCCCAGCTAGGTTCAGCCAAACGCATTCCCCCCAAGTAGAGCACCTGGGGTGGGTCCCCCAGTGAGGCACTGACGTCTTTCCTCAGGGTGTGCAGATGGGCCAAGGCATGAAAAAGCCTGTTCCTTTTCAGAAGCCCCCAGCCCCCACCACCTCTGCCCGCATGGCCTGCACGCCGTGGCTGCCTCTGAGCCAGGGTGGTCTGGGATTGCCTGGCTGCCAGAGGCCGTGCATGGAATGTATAGGAGGTCATTCTCACTGAGACCAGAGCACATGGCATGTGGGGTCCCTGGGGATGCTCTGAGTCCCAGCCCAGGCTTCCAAGGCCATCCCTGAGGGCCTGAGTCCCCAGCTCAGGAGGGGCGCAACTGCTCAACTCTGAGCCAGCCACACCCCTGGCCTGGGAAGAGCATGTGTATCACAGGGCCAGGCTGGAGGCTGGGTGAGGGTCCTGGGCCCACCGAGCTACCACATCGGCCACAGCCCAAAGGACAGAAGGGTTGGAGAAAGGGAAGTGAGCAGAGGGGCACAGTGGGTGAGGTGCTCACTGCATGCGCCCTTCAGGCTCAGTTCCTGTGTTTGCATCCATGCCCAGAAGGACCACCTGCCTGAGGCTTGCGTGGTGCTGTGGGAGCCCTACGCCCTCAGGGGCAGAGCAGCTGTGAACGGGACCCAGGAAACCACCCTGCGGCCATCACCACAGACAACTAACTCTGCCCCAGGCTGAGTGCAGTGGGGGCTCCGGGTGTCAGGCACACCCCCGCGTCAAGGCCCACCTTCTGTGCTGGCCCCATAGCTGTCTGAATGGTATTTCACACATTCAAAAAAATATCCTGTTTTGCTTGCTCATAATCAGCAACTATAGATGTCACTAGGCTCCCAGGGACCAGAGAAACGCCTTCCATTCCCATAGGACCTGGAACGAACACGCACGTCCAGGTGTGACAGCAAACCTTCCCTGCAGCAGCCCAGGAGACATGCGGCTTTTCCTGCTCCTTTCGTGGACTTGGGCCTCTTGTATCACAAAGGGAGCTGAAGATTGCCATTTCCCAGGGTCCCCAGCCCTGCACGCACTTGGGCTTGATCCTCTGCTCTGGTTTGTCTGGTTTTTATCCAACTGTCTCAGAAAACCACACTCCAGAGAACATGAACACCAAACTGGAAGTTGACCTTCGGTGGGAGCCCTAGCCGAGGCGGGCTCCTCCCCTCCACCCTGGTGCGTGTGTGGGGGGCTTGCAGACCAGGGCCAGGCAGGTCAGGACTGCTGCTCTCACCACTGGCCTGGGCAGGCTCTGCCCCCGCATCTTTGGGATGCCGTCAAGAACTCTGAGGGGTGTGGTTTGAAGCCCCTGAGGACGAAGCTAGCTGGGAGCGCCACGCCCTGGGCCTTGCAGTCCTCGAGGGTGGTGATGTTGAATGAGAAAATGGACCAGATGCAGACACAGTATTTGCAGTTTTCCCAAGAAAATGAAATAATCTTAAAGACCATTTTTCTGCATCCTCTTCCTCATTCAACAGGACGTCGTGGAAATCCTCCAAGCCCAGGGGGTGTCAGTGTTTCCTTTGACTGGCCCTGCAGCACAGCACGTGCTGTGACATCCCACCAAGCAGGCATAGCCTCAGTGTCGTGGTTCCTGCTGGCACACACATCTTCATGTGCGGCGCCTCGTCTCTGTCAGATGGAGCTCTGCAGGGAAGCAGTGCAGTGAACACTCACACTTAGAACTGGGTCACTTTCCCAAAGGCCAGAGAGCTGGGGGCTCTACCCGCCACACACAGCTGCAGCCTCTGCTGGTCCGGCAGCACGTGCCTCCCTGTCCACACTAAGCCCAACAGCGTGACTGCCCCACTGACAGGCTATGGAGCGAGTTTCCCGTGTTTGTGGCTGTTAAAACATGCATTTCTGTGTCCGTGAGGCCCTGGTGGTAGGACTCAGGGTCACAGCCCCAGTAAGCAGTGTCCCTTCCCTGTGCTGCTCCTCAGAGGCCTAGGGCAGGAGGCGCGCAGGCTGGAGGGCTGAGGGCTGTCAGCCAAAGTCCTTGCAGCCCGACACCGGCTTGACAGGCAGCCACAGGTCCCTTTAAGCACCCCACAAGTATGTATGCAAGTGGATATAAACATACATCCACATGCCATATGAAAGTATCTGCATCTGCCCTGCTTGTGTGCCCACGCACGTGTGAGCATATCCACACCATGTGTGTCCTCATTATATAAGCATATCCATCCCACACGTGTCCATGCCCATGTGTACACGTCAGTATATCCACATAAACATGAAAGTGTATCCACATATATGGACGTATAGAAGCACAGCCACACGGTAATTTTGGGGGGAGGCTGCAAAGAGACAGAGAACAGAAATTAAAGTCCTTTTTTTCAGGACTCCTAAGTAAATTTAATGATTAAAAGGAGCAATTTAGTGTTTTCATGTGAAGTTGGAACACCTGGTTCATTTATTACTTGAAGGCCTGAGAGATTGTATTTAAATATATATGCTTTATATCCTGTGCAATTTTCTCCCCAGAGAAAACCCTTCCAAAACTCCTGGGGAAATAATTGCCGGTTTCTCTTCCTTTTCCGTTTATTTCTTCATCCCTTTTAAGAATGGATCTTGGGAATGACAGAGGGAGGAGGGTTGAGTGGAGGATGGAGAGCAGGGAGGGATGCGGGGAGCCCTGAGCACAGCTCTGGGGGCTGTCCGAGGTGCCAGCACCTGCGGGGCCTGTGCACACCCGCTCCCTGCTTTCTCTCCTCTCCTCAGAGCAGTGTGGGTGTGGTGCTGGGGGGCAGCTCAGGCTGCCTTGTGCTGCGCTCAGGGCCGTGCCCGTGCTGGTGTGTGACCCTGCAGGTTGGCTGCAAGCTGAGTCTGGTGCTCTTCCAGTACTGCGTCATGTCCAACTTCTACTGGCTGCTGGCTGAGGGGCTGCACCTGCATGCCCTCCTAGTGGCCATGTTCCCCAGCCGCTGCTTCACAGCCTACCTCCTGATCGGATGGGGTAAGCTGCCCAGCGCCCTCCCACCCCCTCCCTGACCCCTCCCTGCTGACCTGGGGGGTACTTTTCAGCTCGGAGAACCCCTGCTCCCCTGTAGGGTGCACTCAGATCACACAGGGGTGAGCTTTTCTAGGAGACTCCAACCGCCAGCACATTACCATTTCTGGGACCCAGGAAGCTGGTTTAAAATCGCACTGAGCTCACATTCCTGGAGTGTGCCCAAAGGGGGGACAGGTGGGAAGAAGCCCACAGGGGAGACAGAGCAGGAAGCCCTTCCACTGTGAGGGGTCATGGGAGCACAGCCGCCCTGCACTTGAACGAGTGCTCCTGATGCACAGTGGGTGCTCAGCGTTCAGACACACTCGTCTTCACACTTTAATGAGGCCCGGGCGTGAGCTGGCATCTGTTTATGAGGTGGTTCTGCTTACTCTCGTCATCAGAGAGCCCTGGTCCCCGACGGCCCTGGCTGACGAAATGCACAGCTGTGTCGTCCCTGCTGGTCTGCACCCAGTGACCAGCCGGGGCTGTGGATGACTGGGTGTCTTTCTGCAGGTGTCCCCACCATCTGCACGGGGGCGTGGGCCGCCACCAGACTCTCCTTAGAGGACACGGGGTGAGTGCCGTGCCCATGCCTCTGCCTTTGGCGTGGGAGGGGCTGCACGGGTCCTCCGGCCTCATCTGCGTCTGCAGGCACAGCCAGGCCAGCAGGAAATGAGCGGCTCTGAGCGCCGTGGGGAGGGCGGTCCCTGGGTCGGAGTGTTTGGAGAGAAGGGATCCAGCAAGCCTTGCTGCAGAGCGGGAAGCAGGATAAACCAGGCAGATTTAATCACAGGAATCAGGGTCTTAGGTGAGGGGAGCAGTGTTCACACAGGGAGCCGGGCAAAACACACGCAGTGTTTGCTGAGCCAAGGGTGAGGGTGAAGGTTCGAAGGTGGGCTGAAAAGGTAGGAGGGCAGCTCTGAATGGTTCTCCACCTCTGCCTGGGTCCTACGTGCAGAATGCAGTGCAGACAGGGCGTAGAGCAGGTGGCGGCTCCACCCAGGCACCAAGTGTGCCCACCGTGAATACTTGTGAGTGGCTGTTGGGGCTGGAAGTCACCTAGTACCAGTACCGATCCACCCAGAATGGGGACTTGGGTGATCACGGTGTGCTCATGTGGTGTGCTGCTGTGTGCAGCCATTGGGGCCGACTGTGGCGGTTCTTCCAGCCTTAGCCTGGCTCACACTGGCAGGTGCAGAGAGCCTCAGCTGGAAGGGTTGGGGTTGGGGTCAGGGTCATGGTTCGGGTCAGGGTCAGGGTTAGGGTTCGGGTCAGGATCACATTTGGGTTGGGGTCAGGGTTAGGATCAGGGTTAGGGTTAGGGTTGGGGTTAGGGTCAGGGTTTGGGTCGGGGTTAGGGTTGTCGTTAGGTTCCCAAGGGCTTCACATCCTATTAGCAACACCAGCTCAAGCTGGGGTTGAGGGTAGGTCTCTTTCCTGCTTGGGAGGGGCTGCTGTCCCCCACTGCTGGATTTGACAACAGAGGGAATGTTGGGGACCCTCCAGCCCTTTAGGCAGCTAAAGGTGCCTCCAGGACAGACGTTTCTAGCTGTGCTGGCCTCTTCTGCTGCACAGACATCTTAAATGTCACTCCATATATATATTCAGACCTCGGAAGTGAGGGAACCGGGGTTCAGGAGAACGTCCCTGGATTTGCTGTCAGCTGCAGCAAGCGGTAGCTGTGCCAGCTCCCCAGGTGTGGCTGCCGTGTGCTTTGGCGTCCCCGCTCCCCGAGCCATCATGGCGAGAACACAGGGACTCAGTCTCGACGGGGTGGTTCTGCCAAGACCTGTAAATGCAGAGTAGTTATGCTCTTACTGTGGAACAAGTGGCACCAGCAGCCTTGGAAACACACCAAGGGAGATGACTCCCTTGCAGGAACAGGGCATGCCCTGCAGTGGGTGAGTCCACAGTCCACACACCAAGTGGTTTACAGATGGAGTAGGTGGTAATGGGGTTTTCCTTCTCTCTTTTCAATAGTTGCTGGGATACCAATGACCACAGCATTCCCTGGTGGGTTATACGAACACCAATTTTAATTTCTATTATAGTAAGTAGTTTCTACATTGAAACATGAGTTATCTGGTGGGTAGCACTTGGCAGGGTAAGCCCGTCACCCTTTGTTCAATGCAAATGGCCCCATTCTGCTCCTCTCTCTAGAGAAGAACGAGGGAGCAGCCAAGCTCTGCCTGAGGGCTGAGGGCTCAGCCCACCCTCCAGAGAAGGAGGCACGAGTTCCTCCAGCGGGAAGGGCTCCCCAGGGCAGGTGTCCTCAGGCTGGCCAAGCACTTGAGGTGGACTGGACTCCTTTGCCCCTTTCCATCACATGTGCTGCCACCTGGGCCATGGACAGTGGTATAGACACTGCCCTCTCCCACTGGGGGCAGACCCGCAGAGGGGCCATGCCCTGTGCCAGGAGAGGTGCAGCCACTCAAATGGAGCTGAGCCGCAGTCCTCCCAGCCAACCCCCCTCCCAGGCTGGGGGGCTCCACACGACATGCTGTTTCTTTTTGTGCAGGTCAACTTTGTCCTTTTTGTTAGTATTATACGAATTTTACTGCAGAAGTTGACGTCCCCAGGTGTCGGTGGCAATGACCAGTCACAGTATAAGTGAGTATGTGCTTAGTTAGATCCAGGGCTGAGCAGTCCTCACCACAGGCCTGGGGCCAGGGTCGCACACCCAGCAAAGCGGCCCAGGCCCTTCTGTGGTCAAGGGCATGTGCTCATGGCTGATTCACGGGACTGCACATGGCTGAGGCCATGTCTTGCCCAAGGGGGGAGTAGCTGCAGCCCCTTTCCTTTGTGTCGGCATGGACGCCCTCCGGGAGCCACTATTGATGCTTTTGCCTGTTCTGTAATCTGACTTTTCTCTTTGGCCTCACATTGCTGGTATTTTATGTTTAATCCTTTCTTCCCCTTCAGACCATGGGGCTCATGCCCACACCTAATGCCAGCCTTGTCCTTAGTGGTAATTCAATTTGTGTTTGTTAATTGGTGATCATGTGAAGATGGTCTTCATCATCTCCACTCAGTGGGAGTGGGAGTCACCCACAATCACCCAGCCAATTAATGAAGAGCTGAGAGACTCTCTGAAGGAATTAAAGATTCTACAAATTTCTATCAAGAATTTATAAAGAAAAAATAAAGCCCAGGTCTCTAGTATAACATCAACACTATTTAAGTGTGGAGTGGTTGGTCCAGCCGCTGGGAGCCTGGGGACAGACAATCAGGTCCAGACCCCAGCCACCCACCTGCCCGTCCATGGGCCCCACCCCACCAGCTCCTGTCTCACCCTCCTGTAGACCTCGGGTCCTGGGGAGGCCGGCAGGCAGCGTCCCTGGTGTCTGGAGCCCTATGCCAGCTGGAGGCCTGTGGGAGTAGATGCCCCCTCTGGGCCAAGGTCTCCTCAGCAGGAAGTTGGGAACTGCAGTCACCATCTCCAAGCTCAGGAGGAGTGTCAGTGTCCAGATGGCACACGGTGCCCGGCCCCACCTCTGTGAGAGCCTCGCAGGCAGTCACCCAACTGTGCCCTGGTGTGTATAAATGCCCATCTGCATCAGAGGGGGCTGCACAGAGCCTGCACTTAGAGAAGGTCTCACGTCAGGCCGGGAGGTCAGAGCAGTTCCGGCTGCAGCGTCTGAGCAGCATTTTTAGCTTGGGTGAGAGGCCAGGCTGTTCCCTGGAACCCCCTTCAGGCTGGCGGCCCTTTTCATTCTCCACGAGTCTTGCTTAGCTTCTGTGCTCACCTTTCTCTGGTTTTGAGGGACTTCCTGTTAAGTAGGTCTAGAGATGGATGCTTTTATTTTGGAAACAAAATTAAATAAGGACAATAGAATATTTTTCCAGGATAACAAAAAAGGCAGAGCACGTCTGGCGTCCCTCTGATTGTATGTTGGTGTCTCTCCCATGTAACTGTAGTATCATGAGTGGTAGTAACCACTCTGCCTGGACAGGTACCCAGAGGTCAGTCTTGCTGGGACCCTTTTCTGGAAACTAGCATGATGGCAAATTTCGGATGTATTAACGATGAGAATTTGGGCGGATTGTCCCTCTAGCATATAGCCAAAGGCACAGATGCCCACAGGGTCTCAGCGTCTGCTTACCAGGCTAGCCTGAGCCGAGAGGCAGGTAAGCACGGCCTGGGCCCACAAGGGCATCCGGCGGCAGTGCGGAGTCCCTGGCAGTGCAGACCCTCCTTGCTGACTGAGAATCCGGGGTTCTCACAGCTGCTGCAAAATGGGAGGCTCAGGGTCTGTGCAGGCACAGGAGATCCCGCTGGTTGTCAACACCACAGGTGTTTGTTGTGAGGGAAACTGGGGGGAATGAACACATTTCTGGAACTTACATCTAGGCTCTGAGGGGTCGGTTTCAGGCCAGTACGTCAAAAATACATAAAGAAATCCGTGACTTTATTCTAACTGTTGGGGGTCAACTAACAAGAGCAGGGGGGTGAAGTGGAGACCCCCTCCCCACTCAGGAAGAGGCATCTGGGTGGTTGGAGAGCCTGCTGCAGTCACTGGGGGTCCACATGCACACGTCACCTGGGGGCTGAGGCCCTGCACTCCCAGTGAGTCCCCAGGTGGCCCCAGGGATCCAGGTCTGTGGCCCCAGGGGCCTTGCAGGGGTCAGACTTGGTCACACTCTGTAGTCACCCAGAAGATGTGACACTGGCATGGGGCCCACCTACCAAGATCCACTTGAATGGAAGTGGGGGGCAGGCTGGACCGAGCAGCCAGGTGATTCTAGGCCACAGCAGTGAGGGCGGCTGCCTTACAGTGGCGGTTCCCAACGTGGGGCCCCCGGACTGCAGCCGCAGCACCTCTGGGAAGTTGGCAGATACAGGGGCTCTCAGGCCAGGTGCCAGGCCTGCAGGTCCAGCATCTGCTTTTCAACACAGCCTGCAGGGGTTCCAGTGCAGCTGAAGCTTGAGAAGCACTGACTTGGAGAACTGAGACACAGAACGGGGGAAGAAGTGCGTGGAGGATGGAGTTTAGTTCATCTATTTTATTTTCAACATAAAATGCACACTCAGAAAAATCTGTGTTCTCATTAGGGAGGATAATGACTCACACAGAGAAACTGGCAGGTCCAGGTCCCCCAGTTCCACAGAACCCATGGGCTCAGGAGTGCAGCTCACCTGCCCAACCCGGGAACTGCCTCTGCAGGGACCCTCCCTCCCTCCCACGTGGGTGCTGCCTGCCTGCATCTTTGCTTGTGATCTGAAAGTAACACTTGCTCTGTCCCTAAATGCCAGTGACGGTCCAGACTGCCAAACCCGGGACACACAGGGGGTCAAACCCTCTGAGGCTCATCTTCACCAGCAGGCCCATTGAGATTCCTTGTGAGAGATTATTCACCTTACCAGGCAAAGAGATTCTTATCATCACCTTTGTCCATTCTGCCCTGGGGTTGGGGGTGTGTGATACCTAAACTTAGAAGAAAAGAGGCTGGACATGAGGCCCTGGGCCAGTGTGTGGGTGTGCCTGGTCCCTGCAGGCCAGCCTGCGGCCCTGCCTGACTGGATCCCCTTTCTTGGGGCAGGAGGCTGACCAAGTCCACGCTGCTGCTCATCCCGCTATTTGGAGTCCACTACGTGGTGTTTGCGGTGTTTCCCATCGGCATCTCCTCCACATACCAGATCCTGCTCGAATTGTGCATCGGATCATTTCAGGTGCACGTGGAGGGGCTGCCCCTGCCCGAGGGCTGAGTGGCCGCTGACGCCCCTTCCTGCCCACAGGGTGCTCTACTGCTTCCTCAACAGCAAGTAAGTTGTCAGCGCCTCGGGACCCGTGTGTGAGGGATCCCCCAGCCTGGAGGAGCCTAGGCCTCCGCCGTGGCCCCACGGCTCACGCGAAAGCCTCATCCCACGTCCGCGTGCCCCCGTACCAGTGGAGAGATGGCACAGCCTCTCTTCACTCCAAGCCAGGGCTCCGCCGGAGGTCCCCCATCCTGCAGCCCCAGGGCCAGGCCTGCAACCTGCAGAAGGGCACCCACAGCCTGGGGCCCTGCTGGGGGCTCCACTGGGCTTGTCAGGCTGCTCCGTGCCCTCCTCTGGGGGTGGTCTCCCGGCCCACCGACTTTCCCTCGGGCACCTCTGCGCTCACGGGTTCCTCTGCCATTCCTCAAGACCAGCGCATCC